GGGCAGGCAGAAAACAAGTTCATAGACCAAAGACAACGACCGCAGAAGCAGCCTCTCCGGATGAATGCCGTGGGCCCCGCCGACTGGAACACACACAGCCGCGGATATATGGTTATGGCACTGGATCGGCTCTGCAGATCGGGCCAAGGGATCGGGGAGAGGGAACCAGGAGTACTACTACTACCTGGTGGGCGACCCAGAACACCACACGCGTTCTACAGCAGCTTACGCTTTGATGTATTTGCCACAAAGTTCGCAATTAATTGGCGGTTGCTCGAATAAAAATAATGCCTTGAATCAATTACGCTGAAAACAAATTGGAACTTCTCCCATCACCGCCTTCAGCGCGCCGAATTTGCATTGATGATGCAATTTCTCTTGCAGCCATTACGAAAGCGGGGTTCTGGCCCAAACCTGATCGTGGATGGTGTTGCCTGAGTTGCCAGTGCTGCTGGTGCTTCTCATGTTGGCTCTTTTCCAGCGAAGAGCTGCGCGGTCTCTTTTTTCTCCCAGCGAAGATGGCCAATGTCTGCCGCTTAGCACACAAATTGCTGGCATACTTGCTGCCGTCTTCTGTGCCTGTTGTTGTTGTTGTTGCTGTTAAAGTTGCTGTTTGCAGCTGTGAAAATTTGCACGCTCGGGAAACAATTTTCCTGCCCGTTAGCAGAGGAGGGGCCCAGAAACAAAGAAGAGCGGCCTAAGTACATGTGGCAGCAGCTTTTTGCCTTCTGCCGCCTGCAATGAGTGGCAAAGCGCACTCGGTCGAACCGCCCGAACTTTAATTGGTTTGGCTCTGGCCCACAGATGAGTGGAACGCAGATCCCGCGCCATTGTGAGACTTTCTAAACGGGCCAATTGAGCCAGCAAATTAGCGACATCAAGCTCGGTACAGTCGCGGCCTTCGGGAGCGGCAATTAGTGCCACTTGGCGTATGCGTAATAAACGCACCTGGCCGAGGACCACACGCAGGTGGGAAGCGTTCGCCAGACTGGCATTCTTAATCAACTTTCTGGCTGGGCGAGAGCAGAGAAAGAAAAAACGCGATGGCCTGCTGCCTGCCAAAGTCAATAAAAATGTCAACACGGCAAATGTCATGTTGACAAGGCAGACAGAACAAAACGTGTTGGCTGTGTGCAACTGGCTGGGCTGCTCCCCTGGAAAATGCCGAGTGGTTCTGGCTGGGGAAACAGAACATCGACATTCTCCACCATATAAACTTTACGAGCTTTTCCACCGCTCCTTTCTCCCTGCCAGCGATTTTTATGGACAATTCAAAAATCGTTTATGACAATCGCACCGAGCACGGGTCTGGCGAAGCTTTTTAATAAAGTTTCGTTGCTGTTTTTGTTGCCGCTCTGTCAGGGATAGTAAAACAATAAAAGGATGTACGGGGGCAGGACGACGGAGGGTTGGGGATGTGCCAGTCCTGCCACATAATTGCTGTCCAGCTGAGCGACGTCGTAAAACTAAGAGCAAACAAGTCTTTATGGTGCGACACCTGTCCCTGAACTCACAAGAGGCCATATAAGCCATCCTTACACTTGCAGAAATAGAGCAGCAAGCCTTGTATATTCCGATAATTATATCAGATTATTTGGAAAGCATTTCAACAAAGAAATTTATACAATTTACTATGAGTTAAGTCAAAATTGAGTATTAAAGTAGTTAATTGTTGAGTACAAACTTGTATTGCTTTCTGTGCTAAATCTATTCACTGCCAATATGGCATTTAACATAAAATTTAAGAAAATTAACTGAAAATAAAAAAGAATTATAATTAAGTATGTACTATTAAGCTATTTATTTTTGAAAGACAGCAATAGCAGTAAAAATAACCTTAGTAAATTCTCTGTGTTCATTAAAATTTTGCAAAATTACGTGTGAAAACAAGAAATGCTGCAAATAAGGACCCGTACCTTACTTTTGTGCTGTTCCAATAACTTTTCTTTCAGTGTAAGGGTATGCTGAAACAGACATTTTCGCAGCGGGCTCCCTGGTGTAACTTTCGCTCCGGATACATAAGGTATCAGCGGGTACATAATACCTACACGATTGCTTTTCGGCTGCTCTTCCGACATTAACCCAAATCACACAAATGACTTGAGAAAACCGCACACAAAGTGCCAAAGTGATTTGGGGCTAACCTTTTGGCCATTGTGTTCGGCGATTGGGGGCCCAGATTGGCTCCGCGTCCCCTTTTCGGCCGTCCGCTAAACTGTCTTTAGCCGCGCATTGAGCCGTCGCTCATCGCTCAAGCTCTGTGGCAATTTGTCAACGCGGCCGCCGCATAATGATCATTCATCTGGCTGCCAGATAAGCGCAGACGGGGCTAAATATAGGCACTTGCCGCACATCTCCCAAGCTTCTCCGGAGACCCGGAGGAGGCGCAGCTGCAGCCCGGCTCCGACTCCTCAGCTCCGATCCCTCAATGGGCCAACTGGCGACTGGCAACAGCCAAGCGCTCTGGCTGTGAACTAGTTTTCCAGAGGGCCTAGACGGGCCAAACCAGTTCTCTGGGTCAACGACTGCCAAAGTAATTGAGACGGAGCCCTCCGCCGTCGATCAATGCAAATAGCGTCAACAGCTGCCGGCCAGGCCGAAACCGGCGGGCTTACTTCTGCACTTATTGCACTCTCTGCCGCTTCTGCCGCCTCTGCCGCTCCTGTTGCCAATGTTGCCAGTGTTGCACTCCTGTTGCTGCCAATGCTGCCGGGCCAACAATGTTGCGCAACTCCAGCAACTCCAGCAACATCGGCAGCACGCACACTCGCCGGAAAACTCGCCGCTGCACTTTCCATTTTGTTCTGCCGCCTTAATGACTTCATAGACCTGTGCCAAATTGAAACTTGCCACAATTGCTTTGCCAATTTCACGCAATTCGCTGCAGTCAACAATAAATTTGCGCCGGTGCCGGCGGGAAAAAGAGGGCCACGATGAAATGCAGGTCGCACAATAAACTCGCCGGCAGACCCGCAGGCTCCCAGGCGAATTTATAGAGTTTAGGCACAGTTTCAGTTGGTGGTGGAACCCCGAGTCGGGAACTGGTAATTTGAGTTTGAAAGCGGCTGATTCGGCTCCCCAGCTGCGACACGTTGCACGTGCATGCCTTGGGATTTGGATTTGGACTCGGATTCAGATTCGAATTCGCATTCGCATTCTCATTTACTCAAATTCCCCTTGCCGAACAGAAATAAATCGGAGTGCAACTCCATTACAGTTGCACCACGCATTCCTGCATTTGCAGCTCAAAATTCAAATGTCAAACAGTTTTTTCGGGCTTATTCCCTATTGAAAGTCGCAATCTGTGCAATTAATTTGCCGGCAAACCGCAGGAACCGCTTGGCACATGGCACTCGGCCATCTATTGACACGTCAGAGGGTCCCAGCCCCACTGGCTCCACTCCTCCACTGCTGGTGAACTAGAAATGGAATTGGAAAATGTTAAATCGGGATGTGGCTGGATGTGGATGTGGATGTGGCGAAAAGAAAGAATCCACTGGCTAAAACAACAAAAGGGCGGACAGCATTGTTTTGATAAAACGCCCGCATGAACTCGCATTTCCAGTTCGGTTCAGTTGGGCCACGCCCCGCCCCGCCCACTCCCACGCCCCCACTCAGATATATCTGCTCACACACGAGATATATATTCCCGAGTGTGTGGGTATGTGTGGGTATCTGCACAATGCACAGTTATCCTTTGATATGGCAAACAGCGAGCTGCCATGAAATGGTGCGTGTTCATTTCCCGATGTCAAAGGAGTGAAGCGGGTGCGCTGCGAAAAATAGGAGAAACTTTAATTGAAGGGGATTAAAGGGTAGGGAGACTGGACTGTAATCCTTCGCCGCAGTGCTTTATAAATCCCTAAATTGGTTCGCAAGTCTCGTTCAAGAGCTGAAACAACAGCGATTTTGGTTGCTTGACAACTTTTTTGGCCGAGAAATAGAATTAATCCCTTGCTTCAAAACAACAAATTGGTTGTTTACTCGCAAAACCTCAATTATTTTTTGCTTTTCGAATATAAGCCTTACCATGTCTGTAAAATATTTTAAAATTTAACATGTACATGTACACATGTTAAAGAAATTGACAACCAATATAGTATTTGCAATTTAAATTAATCAACATTTTAATACATATATAAATATTTATTAAACATTTATTTATTAAAACATTTTAATAAATAAATAAATACATTTATTTAGCATTGAATAATTTAAATTATGAATCATAAAATATTAAGATGCTATGCTAAACTTGAATTGCCTTACTCTTTTATATCAGATCATATCATAATGACCACTCATTGCTTCACCATTAATTAGTTGTCAATCCAATTGTGCTCTAAGTTATATTATTCTCACTATCCTAGCTTGTTTCTCCAAAAGACCTTCTGGTCGCAGGAACCATAGCAAATGAGTTGCAGGGTATTCAAGCCGGTCTAGGATAACAATGTCTGAAAATGGCGAAATGACAACGGCGACAGCCCTGCGGGCTTGACAGCAACAACAACAACAACAGAAATAAAACATAGCAACAAAAGCAACGCAGAGCTGTCGATTTGTTTGTGTAAGTGCTGTGAAGCGTGTATTTTTCATTTTGACGTTTGCAAAAACCGTTCACCTCCCCCCTCCCCATCCCTCTCGCACTTTTGTACCCGTCAAAATAAAAAACGCATGAAAAACAAACTAAAATTGACAGCTTGTCCGATGGCAAATAGGAAGTGCAAAACCGCATAAATCCAACGAATTACAAAAGGAATACAATGAAAATGATTTCCATGCGGTTTTATATTACATTAACAATATGATTCGGCTTTGCGGCGAGGGATTACCGCGTTTTTTTCTCCACTTTTTTAGCTTTTCCTCCGCCGGCCTTTAACCCTGCAACGTGCGGAAAGCGGGAAACATTTTAATGAAATTTTAAACTTTAATTAAATTCTGATTAGTCAAGCCTGGTCGCCAAGTCACGTTTTCCACCCGTCTTTTCCCCCTCCTTGCAGGCCCATCAGCCGCACTCCGCTGACGCAGATCTCCTATCTGCAGAAGATCCCCACGCTACCGCGCCACTTCTCGCCCAGTGGGCAGGGCCTGGCCACGCCCCCCGCCTCCGCCCTCGCCGGCAGCGGCGGTCTGCCCAGCAGCTCCTCCGCCAGCGCCCTCTACGCCGCCCAGACGGCCGCCGGAATCCTGCCCACCTCCCCGCTGCCCCTGCAGCGCCACCAGCAGTACTTGCCGCCGCACCACCAACAGCTCCCGGGATTGGGAGTGCCACCGACCGGGGGAGGAGGAGGAGCCCCCTTGGACCCCCCGTACTCCCCGAACCCCAAGTACTCGAACGCGGCCCAGTTGCCGCCCCCGCCGCACCACCACCACCAGCTGTCGCCGGCCCTGTCCACCCCTTCGCCGCCCTCGCTGCTCCACCACCCCGCCGGAGGCACCTCCTCCGCCCCCGGACACGCCCCCTTCCTGGGCGGACCGCACATGGACCTGCAGCGGCAGTCGCACTCGGACGACGACAGTGGCTGCGCCCTCGAGGAGTACACGTGGGTGCCACCCGGACTGCGGCCCGACCAGGTGAGTCCAGAAACTGACTATTCCTGTTATCCTCTGCTCCTACTTACTTCTTTTATAGTAGAGGTCTAAATTATCCCAGTAAAAGGAGGGAGACCCCTGTAATAATACTGTTTTGCCATTTCAAACAAAATCAAATTCTTCCATTTCAACATTGTGAAACAATATATAAAATTAATGCTTAGGGACAGTTATAAGAGTATATTTGATTTAACTGAACAAAAACCTACGGGTCAATCAAACTGCTGTTAGAATACCTTAATATTGAAAACAGAAGTCAATTTTTCTTTATTTTCATCACAATTTCTGAAACCAACTTTAATAGAAGTAAAAAGTTGAGGTATACCTCATAAAATATAAGAAGGCATCATTATTTCAGCCAAAATTTAAATAAATTCACCCTTGAAATCATTTTGGTTAAACCTTCGTTTCATAGTAACTTATTAATTTTACAAAAAAAGGTGTTCGCACTGCATATAATAACCCTTTGGCCTGAGAGATCGGTAATATTGGATGTCCCAGTTCGGAACAGGCTCTTAAAGTACTGTGGGATCCTCCAGCCTATATAAACACACCAACTTGGTCCTCTGCAGCGAGCAAGTTGCAGGGAAGAAGGCGAAGTGACAAAGGCAGACCCGGGATGGCAGGCGAGATTTGTGGGCTGGCGATAAGCGGGATACTTGAGTTATTGTGCGTTATTTTGTCACTCGGAGCGAGCTGTAAATAAACACACGCGACGAGGCCATAAATCAGCGACTGGTGGCCAGAATGGCTTCAAGTCGCAGATGATGCGGCTGGAAGTCGCTGGCCAAAGGCGATTGCAGTCGACTGCCACCGACCGGCTCTATTGGAGCGCGTCAATTAGGCGAAGGTCCGGTCGTCTATCCGGCGAATTAGATAGCGCTAATGAAAGGGGCTCCGCTGCTGGCCGGCAGCCATGCCTCAATTCGCATTCGACTTTAATGGCCAATTCAATTGTGGCTGCAAGCGCCACGGCCGTGCTTTTTTCAATTATTTGCCAGGCGCCGCGAAACGAAACGAACTCGTAAATTATTCGCGTAAAATATGCGACAATGCCGAATAAATCTTTCACAATCTGCCGGCAGAAGCGACCAGATCCCAGCTCCCAGCTCGCAACTTGCAACTGAAATTCGGAATTTTTTTGGGGCCCTCTGCCGTTTTGCGTCCAACTCTTTGACTTCCGTTAAAGCCATCCCATCCCGACGGTCCTATCAGATGTCTAGCATGGCATTTCTTCGTTTTGCTTCTCCCGTTCGCCTGTGTGACTTTACAAACAGAATTGAAAATTTATTTACAGCCATGTGGCAGCAATTTACGTTGATGCGGCATAAGCCATGTGTCAGTCAGCCGCCGCGGAGCTGGCATTCTCCGTTTTCCATTTCCCATTACCCATTTGGCCGCCGATGAAAGAACGTTTGGCGAGCGTGGCAAATAAAGTTGGCTTAGCACGTTGTGCACCTTTCAACCTGGCTCAGATGGAAGAGCCGTCGCCGTCGCCGCGCGAGCGTCCAAGAAATCAGCGTAATAAAATCAAAAATCTCTGCCCGCTGTGCTTTAGCTGGCTCTTAACCCTTTGTGCCTCGCTGTCCCCTCCACACCGCAACTCCTTAACTCCTTAACTGTTTTATGCATTCCGCAAGTACTTACCACTCGAATCCATCTGCTCCGTTCTCCCGCAGGTTCGTTTGTATTTCTCGCAAATACCCGACGACAAAGTGCCATACGTCAACAGTCCGGGGGAGCAGTATCGAGTGCGACAATTGCTGCACCAACTTCCGCCGCATGATAACGAGGTAAGTACGAGGAGGAGTCGGGTTCGGGATTGGGATCAGATTCGGGGTGCCTCCCAGCTCGGAACCTGACCTTAAACACCAGGTCCCCCCAAACCCAAACCCAAGCCCAAAACCAAACTGCAAACCCCACGGGATCGTGGGCCCGTCAATTTCGCGGCATTTATCCCAGCTGGAGGAGCTGCAATCGGATGGCAGCCGCTTTATCGCGATTGAAACCAACTCGAATTACGGGCTATGACATTTCAAAGTCAAATTGTGCGACGATTTTCCCACACACCTTCCTTTCCGAGTCCACGGCCACTGCCATGAGCATCCCTCCCGACCAGTTCCCGTTTTGTAACCTTTAATTAATCGGAGAAACAAGTGCAGACTCGGTCCGAGTTTGGTATTTAGAGCAGACGCTGACCACAAAAACTAGCCAAACAAAGACTGGGAATGCTGAGCGGATTCCCAGTTATCAGACACGTTGGATGGGGACAGTGATGGGAAAGGTACCCACTTCATGGCAGGATATATGCACTGGTAAAATCGTAATAGGTTAGCCAAAAGGAGATTGATTACTTAAAATTTTTTACAAACATAAAACATTATTTTTTTAACAACGATTGGTTTATATTGGAACACTATGGAAAAATATCATGGCAATGACGTCTCTTACTTAATTAAAAAACTGTACCCAGATAGGTAGGAAGTATTTTACTCTCTGCATTTGTTTAGTTGCCTGCAGTAATTAAATATGTATTTCAAGAGTTTTTCAGAAATATTATAGTTATGATAATATTTTTATAAACATGTTGCTAGTACGAGCAATTTAATTTTCCTTTATAAATAATTTCATAAGGATACAGCCCTTAATCATTTGAAAATACTTTAAAAGGGCAGAATACAATTTGCTTAATACATGCTTTATATATGCTTTAAATAGTATATATGAATGTATTCCTTACCTCAATGGCTGATACAAAAAACTTGGAAATTATCAAAAAAAATTAAGTAATTTTTCCTAAAGGACAGTGTTTCTCAAAGACTTTCCCAAACATTAAAAGGTAGATAGAGAAAATCACATTTAATTCTTAGTTAATAGGTATTAAAAGGTCACACAACCACAACCTACTACGCTGTCCTTCCCATCACTGTTTTGGGGATTGGAGACTGAGATCTGGGGTCCGTCTAACGATGACTAGAACACTCATTGAAGGCCGGCTCAAAATAAGAAAAAACGAGAACCGAAAAATAAGTGGAGGCAGCCGAAAAAATTTGCATACAGCACACAAACGAGACGCTGACCGCAGAGCGGAGTTCTTTTTCTGGTTGTGGTTCTGGTTCTGCATGTGGTTCTGGCGGAGATGGGCAGATGCAGATGGAGATGGAGATGGGGCGAGATGGAGACGCAGATGGAGTGGACAGCAGGAGGCTGGCGGAGAAGCGTTGATAGGCAGCCTGGGCTACCGGCTACCGTTTTGCCTTTTGCGGTTCGCTCTGCGTTTCTCCGGCTCTGGGATTTGGACTGGGATTTGGATTTGTGGGATGTGGGCCTGTCTGCCGCCGAGACAAACAATCTCCGCCCGTTCTCGTTCCCGTTCTCCATCCCTACCGCACTTCTTGGAAAGATCACTTCAGGCTGCGATTCGGTTTGGGCTCGGTTCAACCCACGGTTCCTCGCGCTGTCGAGCCCCACTTGAACATATGATTTCCCTGTCTTTTCCCGAAGGCAGGCGAGACCCGCTAGGCGGGGGAAAAGCCACAGTTTTCAGTTACCCGCTGTCATTGCAGGTTCGTTACTGTCACTCACTGACGGATGAGGAGCGCAAGGAGCTGCGGCTCTTCTCCACGCAGCGAAAGCGCGATGCCCTGGGTCGTGGAAATGTGCGGCAGCTGATGAGTGCCCGACCCTGCGACGGGGTAAGTACCACCCGCCCCCCGAACACCCACTCGAGTTCCCACCAACCACCTAACCAACCTAACCTCGTGCCACCTTGCAGTGCGACGATCTGATTTCCACGGGCGACATCGCGGTGTTCGCCACGCGACTCGGTCCAAATGCCAGCTGGCATCCGGCGTGCTTCTCCTGCTGCGTCTGCCGGGAGCTCCTCGTGGACCTCATCTACTTCCACCGCGATGGGAGGATGTACTGCGGACGCCACCACGCCGAGACCCTCAAGCCCCGCTGCTCCGCCTGCGACGAGGTGAGTGGTCGATCGATTCTTGTCGAACCAATACGTTGATAGGACAAAGTAGGAACTATTTTTGGTGATATTAAGAGGATGTTTAGAATTCATAATGACCTTTTAAACTGAATGAATTAATGCCTGTCTTATGAGAAGATACTAAAATTTCTAAGGATATTTTTTTTTTAATATATCAAAACAGCGATGTTTGATCATTATCTCGGAAAAAAGTTGAAATCGTTAGAATAGAAGACAGTGTACCAAGTGTGATTACGGTAGTTAAAGTGTTTCCCATTGTGCTTTGATTATGATTCATTTACTTAAATACTGTATTATCGGCCAAAATATACAAATTTAATAGAAGTCATTAAAAAGATTGCTAATGGAAACACCTGCACTACTTGTGAAGTAACTCCCAATACCAAATAGTTTTTTTCAAAGGAGTATCTTAAACGATAGAAAAGTGATTATCGTTGCGCAGATACTTATCTTTTAGTCATAAATTAGCTGCGCTCTTCGTGACTCCTTAGCTAAGTTTGTTTTTTTAAAGGCGGTGCTTAGTTAAAAACCTATAAGCCCCTTTTTAAGGATTTCTAATTCAATTTAATAGTGGCTAGCAAAATTTTATGAGTGTACATGAAGAGAGTTTTAATATCAAGGATCATCATCCTTACATTCGTTATTTATTATTAACGGAGTCCTTTTTTCCACCCGCAGATCATCCTGGCGGACGAGTGCACGGAGGCGGAGGGCAGGGCGTGGCACATGAACCACTTCGCGTGCCACGAGTGCGACAAGCAGCTGGGCGGGCAGCGGTACATCATGCGGGAGGGCAAGCCGTACTGTCTGCACTGCTTCGACGCGATGTTCGCCGAGTACTGCGACTACTGCGGGGAGGCCATCGGGGTGGACCAGGGCCAGATGAGCCACGACGGGCAGCACTGGCACGCGACGGACGAGTGCTTCTCGTGCAACACGTGCCGCTGCTCGCTCCTGGGAAGAGCGTTCCTGCCGCGCCGCGGGGCGATCTACTGCTCGATCGCCTGCAGCAAGGGCGAACCTCCGACGCCGTCGGACAGCTCCGGCACCGGGATGTACCCCACGCCCACGCCGCCCGCCCAGCGGATGCGGACCCACGCGCAGGCACCTCTCCCCGCGCGCATCCCCAGCAGCCACGCCTCCAGCTCGCCGCCCATGTCGCCGCAGCAGCAGCAGCACCACCAGGCGACCTTTAACCAGGCGATGTACCAGATGCAGAGCCAGCAGCTGGAGGCGGCTGGAGGATTGGCGGGCGGACTGGCGGGCGGACTGGCGGAGCAGGGAAAGAGCTACGCCACCTCGGACTCAGACGCGGGCGTGGTCAAGGACCTGGAGCCGGGCGGGCACATGGGAGCCGGCGACCTGACCGACTTCTCGGGCGGACGAGCCTCGAGCACCTCGCAGAACCTCTCCCCGCTGAACTCGCCCGGCGACTTCCAGCCGCACTTCCTCCCGAAGCCGATGGAGCTGCAGCGCGACGGGGTGTACAACTTCAACGAGATGTCCTCCAACCTGGACGCGGCCTGGCCGGCGAAGCCCTCGAACAGCTACCAGATGCAGCGGCAGCTCCTGGAGAACCCGCACACGGCGAGCATGCCGGAGCTGGGGGGCCAGCTGCCCCCCGTCCACCTGCAGCACCTCTCGCAGCTGCACGCCGTCTCCTCGCAGCAGTTCCAGCAGCACGAGTACGCGGACATCCTGCACCCGCCGCCCCCGCCCCCTGGCGAGGTTCCCGAGCTGCCCACCCCCCAACCTCAGCGTGGCCTCCACCGCCCTGCCGCCCGAGCTGATGGGATCGCCCACCCACTCGGCGGGGGAGCGGTCCCTGAACACGCCCCTCTCTACGCAGTCGGCGGGCCACGCCCCCCCGCATCCCGTGTCCATCCTGAGTGGCGCCTCCTCCTCCTCGCCGATGAGCGGGGAACCAGCGAAGAAGAAGGGCGTGCGCTTCGAGGGGATTCCGGACACACTTCCCCGATCGAGGAGCTACTCGGGCAACGGAGCGGGAACCAGTGGTGGTGGCGGAGAGAGGGAGCGGGAGAGGGAGAGGGATAGGGATAGGGAGCGGGACAAGGACAAGGACAAGGAGGGAGGAGGACGTCATGGCCACGGCCACTCCTCCCGCAGGCGAAGGCGCCGCAAGTCCAGCTCCTCGCACCACCGCAGTGGGAGTGGCCACCGCTCGCACTCCACCACGCGGGCGGACACCTATGCGCCCGCCCAGCCGCTCTCCTCCTCCTACCAAGGACCGCCCTCTGCCCTCCAGGCAGCCAACCTGGTGCAGGAGTCGCCCGGCCGACCACAGAGGGAAAGGGAGAGGGAACGGGATCGCGAGCGGGAGAGGGAGAGGGAGGAGTCCGAGGAGTCGGACGTGTGCTCCACCTGCTCGTCGAGCTCCTCCAGCTCGGAGGACTACATGATGATGTACCAGCTGCCGCAGAGGCGCCACTACGGCGGGGTGAGGGTGAGCTACGTGCCCAACGACGCACTGGCCTACGATCGCAAGAGGAAGCCCAGCGAGATGGGCGGCGACAAGGACAAGAACTGCATCATCTCGTGATGCAGTCCGCCGGAGGGGCAGCCAATCAGCAGCGACCAGATGCACAGATGCAGATACAGATTCAGATACAGATTCAGATACAGATACAGATACAGATAGAGATCCAGATGCAGATGTTATTAATGCAACTCCATCGCGTGGCTAACGAAGTGGCCCAGAACGCTCGCGGGGATCATCAATTCCTCGCCGCGGAGGCAACCGCCTCATCACAAAGCAAAGTAAAGTTCAACTTGACATTAAGGCGCCTAGTTAAGATGCACTCACAAACACACACACACACATATGCAACTCCCGAGGAGGAGACCCTACAATAAGAGCCAACACTGTTCCAAATACACATCCCTAGTTAAGCCAGTTGGAGGAGATTCAACCTATATACATATTTCTATGATAACGAGTAGCGTAGGGATGACCCTATTTATACAAACACTCTATATTTATTGCATTACTAGGCTTAAAGGATACTCTAAACTTACAACTAGGGAAGTAAGTTGAAAAGCACAGGGTTTCTCAAGACTCTGCTGCTGGCAATTGGGCTAATGAAACTCTACAATAACTCTAGCTTAAGCCGATAAACTGTACGACATTCACAAGAATAAAGTTCAAAGAAAGTAAGATTCAACTGTTTTATTAAAGTCCAGGGTTTATTTTACTTTCAGTTGCTCTATCCGAAAGTTTTAGGTGCTTTCAAGTTTTCGTTTACACATAAAATATTTATTTAAGCTGAATCAGTTTATTTATCAGTAAAATAAGTACATTTTGGTGAATATCTGCTAACAATTTGGTTATAGATGTTAGCTGGATTTAAACAGAATGACCAGACAGTGATGATTTCCTATTTGGTAAATCTCGCGTTAGTTGGGACAATCGGTCCTGTCTAGCGGAATGCCTAATTTGGCGCCCTGGTGGATGGCATCGACGGTTCCGCCGCCTTATCTGCAGTGTAATTATGCATCGGATAATGAATACAAATTACGCGCATGTCGAGCATTTGCATGCGGGCCATCCACCAGCGGCAGCAACATGGAAATTAAAATCGAAAATAAGGCAGGCAGGCGGAGTTCTGCTACCAGCTAATAAGTTGTTGGCAAGTTATGGCAGAGCGGCTCTTCGGATCGGACTGGGACTGGGAGTGGAGTTGCAGCTGGAGATGGAGCTGGAGAAGGGCCAGGTACTTCGACCGGAGTGAGGAACCCACGAGTTGGCAACCCAGTCGAAGCAAGAGCAATCACATGCATGCAACACTGGCTCTAGGGCGTAATTAGCAAATAATGCCGGGCACTCCGATGGGGGACACAAGCTGAGGGCGAGGGGATCCGCGGGGGGAGGGGAGCCCTTGTTCCTGCTTACTTTGTTAGAATCAACAACTTGCGCCCCAGCCGTCAGCTAAACAATGTATGCGTACATTCCACTGTCGATAAACAGCGAGAAAAATTCTAGAAAACGAAGCGGAAATACCATACAGCTTGTATCAATTCATGACTTTATTAAGGTTTAATTGTGTTATCATTATTATTATTTAGTTTCTACATTTCTACATATGTCATTAATCCCATCTCTATCGCTTTACTTTTACATCTTAAAACACATACGAGTATACACATTCGCAGAAAATACGTATTTATTAATTTTAAGGTAGGCAGCAAGCTGTGTATACAATAATAATGCATACAATTAATTCACCATATTAAGATGATTTTGTATAACGATAAGTAACATCCTGCACCTGCGGTGGGTATCTTTCGCCAGCATTTGGATAATACCCAATCCGTCGGCCTACAATCATAATTTATTCCCCACTAAAGAATTAGTGCATTTATAGACATAGACGCCATCAATAATGTGAAATTTTCTCTGCGTGCCGCTGATAGTCGACAAACCCATTGGCAGCTGTGTAATTTGTGGAGCTGCCCAGTCCATGTCCAGTTTGTCGCCAGGCCCGGCTAATGGCCACTTAATAACACCCATCCCGGGGCTCCTCTGAATCCCCCGAATCCCCGATTCCCCCGAATCCCCGAGTGCTTGAATGCCACCTGCATGCTGCGGGACTTGCGATGCGACCGACGATAAGCGGCCAAAATTGTCTGCGTCTGGCATTGATAAGCCAAATGACTTTGGCGTTAACGCACAGACGTACAGAAAATACCTCAAATCAGGGGGTTGGGCAGTCACACTCCGAATCAGGACACTGGACACCGAGCCAGTGGCAAGGACTCTCGGGCACGCAACTTTTGCAATTGTAATTCCGCAAAGTTTCTCCCAACGAAAGTGGTGGCGGGGCAAATGCATTTGCCAGATAGATTTTTGTTGTTAGATGCCATTTTTCGTTATAATCCAGCGACAGGCAACAGACAAAGGGGCAGCTTTCACTGCTTTCCCTGCTCTGCTGTCCTGCTGCTCCAACTTTCCCAGCTTTCCCAGCTTTCACTCGATGCGTGCGCCTTTGTGTTTTATTGCATGTCATTTCCGCAGCCGTTTCCTCCGGCCGCTGGAATACTTCTGATGATTGGTCTGCTCCTGTCTGGCAGGCATCCTGCCACTGCCACAGGCTCCGGATCCGAATGCAGTGCAGCCATTATGTTTATCCTGCCACACATTCCCCCATACTCCTCCACTTTCCGGACAGTTGTACACTTGTACATCAGATATGGCAGAATTTATATTCGCATTTCCGACGCTCATTTTTATCATGACCGAAAACCGGGGGCACACACTCCGCCGGCAAATTGTAAATGTGCAGCTGCCGGACTTATTTTCCCGGGGAGTCCGCTTTCGAGTGTTTGGGTGCACAAACAGCCCAGGGTCGAGTGGGGCGGCTTTTATTGGGGCCGCGACTGCACGGGACAATCTGCTGCTGGCATTTGGCTGCGCTTTTCAAGCGATTGTTTTTCGCATTTTCAACGCCATTTATTGCAAAATCGTACTTAAAGCGAGAAAAAGAAGTTGAGCAGGCCAAGATTTATAAATAATTCAAAAAATTTTAATTTTAAATGACGTATAAAATCATTTCGGAAATCATTTAGCCACAATAGAAAATTAATAAACAAAAATATTTGAAATCTAATAAGGGACATGCATTTTTGAAATACCTAAGCATACTAAATTGATCAATTTCTTTTAAGAAAAAAAATGCGACATGTGGCATTACAAAAACCCAATTTAAATGTTGTAGTCATCCGTATACGACTGTAATTACTCCATATCGATTAGTTTAAAATGTAATTGGCAGTGGAATTTATGGTGTCTGAGGCAATACGAAAATACCTCACTAATAACCAACGTCAGGATCGCACAATTCGGTTATGAAAATGTTATTAACTCCTGCAGAGTGGAGCACAAAAAATGTGTAATTTATGTGGCCAGCGCAGGAGCTTATTATTGCAGTCATTTCGGGCATTTGGACCAATCCCCCGGCGAACCACCCACTATCGACTGGAACGGGACTAATGGGGCAGCTTTCAGCAATTGTTTACTGGCCCATTAATTAATACAAATATAAATTGGCAATATGAGTGCGTGCTGCTCACTCTGCGCTCAAACAGCAGCGCCAGCAAAAACAATGAATCAAGTAGGCCCGGATCCGGTCCGGCGAAGTCCGTCCGGAGTCCACGGGTTTGGTCGAGCCAGGCGCATAAATAACCACGAAATGGCCGAGCAAAAACAGAAATGAAAAAATATGTGTATACCATATATACACACATATATATTTATGCCCTCCGCCTAGAACGTTTAATTAATTTTTAGCGTGTTCCGCAGTCCCCCGTAAGCCAGCAAAAAAGAAACAATTATTAATATTCGCCAGGCCCGCAGCCCCACTCCCCCTGCTCAGCCCCCTGCACCACCACCCCCTTTTCCAGGCACGTTCGCACCCCCCGTTCGGAACCGTTAAAAGGGATACATCATCATAACTAATAATAATCATATGCCGGACGCAGTCGCTCCCCTGGACTTAAAGAGACACCGGAAGTCGAAGTGGGAGAAAGTGGGAGTAAGTGCGCACGGCTCGAATTAAATAAAGCATTATTGATGGGGACACATGTCCTGGTCCTCCTTTCCGGGCAACTGTAACCGTCTGGTGTTTATCGCCCCGAAGATCAGCAGTTAGTAAGTCCAACAAGTCAGCCACAAAGAGGCAGCTTGCAGCCAGTACAGTGGGGCGATTATGTGGAGTCTAAGCAAGTTATATATAGCTACTTCATAGAAAACATGTAAATATGTGAAGATTTCTCAAATCATATTATAAAAAGACCTAAAGGTCTTATGTTAAATCCATTTAGATTCACAAGAAAGACGAATATGGTTTTGTGATCAACCTACTTCTTATAACTATAAAATACCTTGCCAATTACTCTCTTCAGATTGTTTAAAAACAAGGTTAAGGAAAGTAGCTTTAATGCAGATCAGAGTGGTTCCAAGTTGGTCGGATATTTTGTAACATTTGTTTGACTTTGTCCTAACCCACTGTAGAACAACTTTCGTGCGTGGCATGGCAATTTGATTTTCGCCCGTATCATTAGCCAAACTGACTTGGTCTTTGTCTAATGTGCGAATCTAATTAAAGCTGCACTGGGCAGAAACTTGGACCCCACATGCGACTCGATGAAAGTGGGAGGCTTGAGTAAGTCGGTTGTAGCCACTGTCCCCACAATAAATACCACAAATAATCATAAAACTAATGCAGCAGACGTTTCCTCGGGAACTGCTTGCCGAAAACCAGACCAGCTCTCTGACTGGGTTCTGTTTGCTACTTTGTTGCGTATTTATTATAGTTATTTTTTCCCCTCCTTACAGCCAGGATTTCATTCGGTCTCGGTCTGGCCACAGCATTTGTATCTGTTTCGCTTTCGGCTGTGGCTTTTGGTCGGTTTCGCCTGGGTTAGCCTCATATTTCATTACGAATTTATGATCGGCGGGTCTGGTATGTGTTTATTGGCCAAGCTTGAGGTGGCTTCAGAAATGCTTACCAGATTTAAATTGAGGGGTTAAAAATTTCTTTAAGTTCAGAAGTACATGAACCTAAACCATCTAACTTCCATGTTTCGGTGTTTAACTCCTTAAAGCTGTCACAAGAATCACAAACATATGTTTGCTCCATCGATAACGAACGATTCGAAGGCATTTGCGATGGAGAAAAGACAAAAAGAATTTCGCAAGTGGAGCTTTTAATTAAGTCGGGACTTGCGCTTCCGTTTCACTGCCTCTGCGGCCTAAGTAGCTCGGCACAACAATCTAAATAATTAAAATATGCAAATGCCGCCTAATCCTGCCCGGCGACACGTACACGCAGACACAACAGTCCGTGGCGAAATGGAACAGGATGGGGTTCCCGGAATAGGAGCAATCCGTGGAGTGGACATGGGGACCGTCAGACAAGCAGCGATTTACTTAAATTATTCATGGCAATGCAGCTCGGTCCGAGGGGATGGAGCTCGGCCCACTATAGCAGGTAGTAAATTAAATAAATGACTGCCGAATCGGCGGCGTAAAAGTTTCAACAACACTTTGCAGCAATTAATGCCCTCGACTCGACTCTCGGATGTGAGCTAGGTTTTATTTCCTAGCCACCGAGTTCCCCCAACCAGACATTTTCCATTTTCCACTCGTCTGGCGGCAGC